AGCAGGATTATTGTGTGTGCTGATTGTGCCACAGCTTCGATGATACTGGGTTTGTTGTTGTGTAGAAGAATTCATTAACTAAGCCTCGTGGCCATACTTGCTATCAAGACAGGAGAACATTAACTGGTATGGTTGGTGACGTAAGCCCCGCCCTCTGTTCAACGATGGTCGCTGACAGTGTAGATGGCTTCTTTCACCCCGCTTTGAAACCATCTGTCCAAAATGTGAGCGGTGGCATTCACAGACATGTGACCTGTCTTACTAGTCCATGTCAGTACTTGTCATGGAGCTTAGCTTGGAGTCACTACTGTGATTATCATGAAGTTCACCCGGACGTATCAAATGCATGAACGCCAGTGTTGTGCAGATGAAAGAAGGCGGTTCCAAAGACGTGTCTTATGTACAGCATTACAGAACAAAAACATCCCAAAATGCACATTTCATTTTTCCTTACAGACCGATGTATTTGACAAACACTCGGAGATTCTTTCTTAATGAGCAGAAATAATGAGCAGTCAAAGGTTTAAGAACGTCAGGAGAAAAGTGTTTGTTTGTTTCTGAGCTTGATTTCCGATAAAACGCTGATCCCTCTCTATCCTCCTCACCGTATTTGTAATCCAGAGATTTCAGTTCAGCACTCGGGGGACCTGCAGCCATGGAAATGCCCGCGATGTCTGATTAAATAAAAACAAAGTGAGAGGAGTAATCGACAAAGCTGCTCTGGGTTCTGATTTAGATTTGATTATATGCACAAAAAGAGGCCGTTCTTAGAAAACAGCTTTGAGGGTCCACTTGACTTTAAGTGTTCATCAGGGGCAAAACAACAACAGCAGTTATTATTATTGTTCGAGTGCTAGCGCACACCCTGCCTCGGTGGCTCTGCTTGCATGCGTGCTCTCATTAAGTTTACCATGTTTGCTCACTCGCTCTTTCACAAGGAACAACTATGCTTCATGAGTATTGCATTATTAATGCACCAACACTAATGAACAGCACATGATACAAACCCTAGCTGCTATCCTGTAGGAATGTTCGCTGTCCTTTAGTTTGTCGCTGTAATAAAGCAATAAGTGGATGATGATGAAGGTCTACGCAATATTATTGTTGCCAGCGTGTTGAGGTTACCTGTGGTTAATGGCCTTGAAATGGTCCCGGACTGCTGGGTGTTCACGGCTTTCTAACGCGCTCATCTAAACCGTGACAGCTGGGCGAACGAGGAAGTGCTGGAACGTTCACTCGGCCTATAAATCCTCTGCGGACTAAAGTGCACCACTACAATTCCCAAGGTAATCCCACCTTGGGAAGGCATAACAGATGAAGAGTCAGTGTGCTGAGTTGTTAAGTGGACGAGTGTGTGTGTGTGTGTGTGTGTGTGTGTGTGTGTGTGTGTGTGTGTGGTGTGTGTGTGTGGTGTGTGTGTGTGGTGTGTGTGTGTGTGTGGTGTGTGGTGTGGTGTGTGTGTGTGGTGTGTGGTTGTGTGTGTGTGTGTTGTGGTGTGGTGTGGTGTTCTGTTGTCCCTCTCTTTGGTACCACTGTTAAGAGTTAAACAAACAGCATGGGGAAATCCATCAGTCCGCAGGCAGGAATCTGATTTCGATTTGGAACCTAGTGTCGTAATGATCAGTGGGTACATTTTAGCTTTCGGGCAGACCATCATATGTGCCAGCTGCACATTTGGGCCAAAATCTATATTTCCTAATGTCATTTCTTTCTTTGCGTGCGAGGTTCACTTCCTGTAAATCAGTACTTGCAGTTTGGCTCCAAACAAAGTTCGTCCTTCATGATGTTGCAGCTAAACTGGATGTGTAGACATTAAAACAATAAAAATAAGTAGAATATTTATTCTATTTTTGGACCTGCTGGTCCTTCTCACTGCTGCTGCCTGTGGCTCCAGTTATTAGCAGTGACCATGTGATGTCAGTGAATCGTGCTTATAGCAGGAAGTCATGGCAAAGCAGCGATAATCGCCATTAATTATCCCTAAGTCCCCTGCTGTCACTGTGCTGCTGTGTGTAATGTGTAACGGTTAAACACGTATCACTGATGTGCACATGTGACACGTTTAAACGTAGAGATGCATACAGATCTGTCCTACATAACGTATCCCTCCTCTGTATGTAAATGGCTCTACGTCTCACTCGAGCCCTCAGCACAGCATCATTTGTTGCACATATTTGTCACTTGTGGTCTCATAATGTCCATCCGTCTGTGCTTAATCACCGCACTGCTCCTTGGTTTGTGGTCAGCAGTCGAGATCTTGGATGATGTCGTTGTAGCTAAAACAAACTGCAGTTATAAAGTGAAAAGATGAAAACATGTTTTGTTATTGTAGGAACTATGAAGATGACTCAGCATGATAAAGAAATGTTCATTGATAATATTTTTATTGTTCTCTTCTGGCACAGTTAACTTTTTAAACATTATTTTTTGCTTTTGGTTAGAAGATTAGCATTTCATCCTCACACAAAATTAGTTTTATTTCATCGAATAAATTTCCATTTTTAACTTGTTAAATTTTTTTTATACTTTTCCACACAACATTTTCCCCTGATGCCTTTCATTGAGATGCGAGGAGACGTTTTGTTTTCAGCGTCCTCATCTTTGTATTTGTTGTGGTAACATTCATCGTTTCTCCCGGCAGGTTACGCTCCGGTCACAGGAATGTGCCACCCAGTCCGGAGCTGCACCCTGAACCACGAAGACGGCTTCTCCTCCGCCTTTGTTGTGGCTCATGAGACCGGACACGTGTGAGTTGCTCGTTTTCATCTTTGGACAAAATGCCAGAGGTTGTTTACTAAGCATGTGTCCATGAACTCAGCCCTTGTTCATTATCTTCTCCTTTTCTCCACATTTCCTGCAACATATGAAATAAGGATAAACAAACTCACATCAGCTGGAAGCATTAAAAAGTTATTAAAACCTGCCGTTCTCTGAAAGGCAGAATTAAGCACATATTGAGTAAATGCACAATAACAGACTGCACGGTGGATAAGCTGCGTTTAGCTTCATGTTGCTGGGCAACAAATTAAACTGGCTGGCTGAGTGTGGTTTGCTCATTAACGTGACACAGTGAGGGCCATTTGGCTGGTGTGTCCAAATCACCTGGAATAGCTGCTTTGAAAAGTGGCGTTAATTTTATCGTAGCATCAATAAAGATTTTTTGTCTGTGTAAACAAACCGACCAATCAAATGAAGCTGTAGCGCTGTAATGAAATCTCTGCACATTTCCAAATGTCCAAACTCTGAGTGTGGAGTTTAAAAACAAATGTAAAAAAATAGAGAAAGAAACTCACAACGTGGTCGTTTTTGTAATTAATACTAAAATTATATATTGTGTGTGTGTGAGGGAGTGCATGCACATGCATATGCGTGTTTGTGGCTTCCAGAACAGTTGGTGTCTTACATGTAAGGTGTTTATGGGAGATTTGAAAATTGTAGCTACAGAAAATAGCCAAGGTCGCGCCATCCCTGATGGCTCCTGTGCTGCTGAATGATAAATACTGATGAAAGGAAGTGGTGGGAAAAGATATTCTGGAAAAAGAAAAAAGAAGGGCTGAAACAAAAGTCCTGTGGCGAATATCAAATTGGTCTTTATAATTTGTCATTTGTACACAAACCTTTTCTGAAACCCTAAACAAGTCACTTTTCTTTGTGATGCCTGAACCGAACAGAAGGTGAAAATAAAGGTGAAAAGTCTGAGAAAGAGAGAAAACAGGCATCTCAACCTCATATGTTACTGTTGAAAACTGCATGGCCCACCCACCTGTCAGCTAATGTAGAAATGCATTAGCCCACACTACCCTTCAGCAATGAGGAACGACCCCCCCTGAATGATAACGGTCTGCTACAGGCAGAGGAAACATTCAAACTCACCAACAACACCGACTCTGCACACAGGAAACACTCCTCTGCAGCTTAAACGCGCTTTCTTCCTGTAGTCTGCCGTTAAACAAGAGACATCTGAAGCACAGTCTCTTGAATGTGTGAAGCCTAAACCTCCGGGTTAATATGCGCTGTACTTTAATCCATGTGATATAGTCAGAGTTGAACTCTTCACATGAGAAGTGGCAGTGCGGTGAAACTTGGACTACAGTGTGAAACAGAACACTGAGCAGGCTAATTTTCCACTTTCCTGCTCTTTCAAGCTGTTTCCACGTCTCCTGTGGAGCTTTTGTTGCGAGTTCTGAAATTTGAAATAAACGCAGCGGGAGAGACTGTCAACAAAGAGCAAATATTTGTCTGCCAGCTGGGTACAGAAACTGGTTCTGGAGTGGACTGAGTCCAGTTGGACAGGATGGAAAAAAGACGGTAAATTTAAGAGATTATCAGAAACGCTCAGAGCGATATGTCAGTATTGTTGAAAAGCATCAGCAGATTTTACAGATGAAGCAGTCATGAGACGGGAGTTTGAAATGATCAATAACAAAGGTGCATGATGCGGGTTTTGTTTGAACATATTAAGAATGAAAGGGAGACTGGATTATAGCGTGGAGAACAGAGGTATTCAGCAGGAACAGAAGCTTTTTGAAACCCAGCGGAGATGGCGAGGGTCCTTCACAATGAGATGTCCCAGGGCACAGCATGAAATCCTCCGACTGTGCAAACGAAGCAGGCCTAGTGAGCAGGGATGTCCGGGGATCGATAGATGCTCTGAGAAAATAAAACGGATTAGAGCAGTGTGGAAACCAGCAGCTGTGCAGTACACACCGACAGCTTTCTGGTTCTGAGAGAAGAGCCTAGAGGGCAAACACTGAGGTATTTAATTTACCGTCAAAGATTAAACTCTATTGGAGGGAAAAATCTATTTAAACATGCTGAAAGCATCTGGAGCTGAAGAGAAGGGAACAGCAGCACGAGGCAGAGGCAGGATGATGGTGATCGCTGCTTTTTAGGCCCTACAGACTGTGCAAGGATCGGTTTAGTCCTGAGATATATCACAGATATGCACATATCAATTAGGGGAAGATTTTTAAAATCCTTTATAGACGGAGAAATGGTTTCATCGAGAGCTCCTTCAATGTTGATGTGGGCAGGAGAGGAGTGTTGAATGACGAACTTAAACCTTTGCTCACAAACTGTGAATTTATAGAAGTAAAGTACTTAAGCTTGTTTACATGTTGGCAGTATTTTAAAGTTGGTGCCTTGCTGCAGAAACCCAGGACCACCGGGGTGGTGGCTTTGAATCCACCATCTGTCCGTCGTTTCTGTGCATCGTCTGCAGCTTCTTCCAGTGTCTGCGTGGCTTCTGTCCTGCACTCTGGCTAACAGCTAAACATGCAGTTAGTGGACTCAGGTTAATTGGTGATTCTAAATTAGTTTTAGGTTTTGTGTCTCTCTGTGAGCGCTGTGGCAGAAACAGGAACCTGCCCAGGGTGCACCCCACCTCTCGCCTTATTGATCTGTGTGTGAGCATCGCTGCAGCAGTCCTTCCAATACACCTTCACAGTTGGAGCCTGGCTGTAGCTCAGGAGGTGGAGCAGGTCATTTACTAATTGGAAGGTTTGTGGTTTGGTCCCTGGCTTATCCAGGCTGGATGCCAGAGTATTCTTGGACAACATACTAACCTCAGTGTGAACGTTACAAAAAAATCACTTAGGCAGACAAAGCTGAGGAAAAAGTGCCCGTATAATGTCCGAGGGCTGAGGTAGAGCAGAGACGCACTATATAAGAATCCGTCCATTTACCATCAACACGCTCTACTTTTAAAGTGGTCAGTGAGCTGTGGACGTCCACTCTGAGCACCTCTGAAGGACATGCTTCAGCTAATTAGAGGTGTGGAAACAGACTGGGCTCATTGAACATGTGCTCAGTTACAGTAAATGCTGGGCTTCATTATATCCTGCCTCCTCACTTCAGCTTCCATTCTGTGGCCCCGAACGACCTTAAAGTAGAAGGAACCCAAGAACATGAACTCAATTTATTTTAATTAACCTGTTTCCATAGTTCAGATGTCATGTACAGTAGTAGAGACATCGATGTTTCCAGCACCATTGGAGGTTTTTAGAAATGAAGCCTATTAGAATGCACACCCAGTAAATCCTGCCACATCGAGTTTTTCCAGTAAAGTTTAGGCCAAGATCCTCAGAGGATGTTGCTGCGAAATAAGAAAGTAGGCATCAAGTCAAGTTTCTTAAAAAGGCGGGTGTGTTGCCGTCGACGATTACATCAGTCAGACTCAGTCTGCACATTGTGTTAAAATGAGACTGAGCGCATACGTCTGCTGCAACTCTGTCATTAACCTGTGCAAGATCCTGTGTGACGTGAGCTGTAGGTGACGAGCACATACTCTTCCCACACCTTTCCGATGACAATTTCTGCATCCTTTCAACACTAAACAATGCGGCAATCATTACCGCTTCCCTCAGCGGCTGACCATGTGAGCAGGGTCACTGTGCAACAACTTCTGTCACTTTTGCATCTGCAAACAAGTGCTGCACCACGAATGCTTTGAGAGTGAGCGATTGTAAGTTTGCGTCATTGCCTGCACATGTATTCAGTGCAAAAGAGGGGCAGTGTTATACAGAGGAGATCATCACCCGGCATTCAGGTCTGACCATTTAACTTCATTTGGTGTCAGGCGGCACATAACGTACAGCATCATGATGTAAACGCAGCTTTCAGTGAGTTGAATAAAATAGTAAACATGTGCCGTTCAGCTTCCAGCTACTAAATATCAGCTTTTGAGTTTAGTGTTTTTTTTATTTTGACACATAGTTTCCAACTGCTGATGAAGAATGTGTGAAGTAAGCTCTGAAGAAGAATATATTTTCATCTCTAATGGCAGCTCTGTGTTAGGTGCTCTTTCTAACACCCTGAACAGGATTTTAAGATTCATCTGCAGTTACAAAAATGGACTCTATATACTTTTATTTCCAGTTGTTGTTGTCTCCCTCCTGTTTTCTGCCTCCTGCTGCACTGAAATAAAATCATTGAATTTGTTGCAAAGCAGGACTGAGAATAAGTTTTTCATTCTTTCCTGTTTTCTTATTTTCTTAGATTTATTACTGTCGTTATGCTTGAGTATCTGCATGTAGCACATTGGAACAGTGGAATTGCACACAAGTCTTTCAAAGCATTTTTATATATATCTATGTATATGTGTGTGTGTGTAGATAGATCGATAGATAAACCCTTTAAAGAAAGTTCAGAAAAAACAAAAAAGCTCATAAATAAGTGCCTGTGTCATATAAGTATTTCTTCTTGTATTTTATCCCAGACAGGGATTTAAATCCTTCTGATCTGCAGGTTTTTATCAGTTTGCCAGTTCCCACATCCCACATCCAAACTCTTTAAGGGAATAAATTATTAATGTAATCTAAAGGCATTTAATCTAAAGTGAGAGCAAACTCAGATTCCAAGTACTTTCACGAGGGATTATTAACATGGTTAATAACGCTCTTAAACATGGATTTCATTCATTCATTTAGGAATTTTGCATTTAAAAGTTGCCCATAGATGATGAAAGGGTTGGTTCCTGAGAGTTTCCGATCTAACCTGCCTGAATCATTGCTGATTTGCTCTGATCTGTTTGCCTCTTTGGTTTGATTCGTCTGAGACAGTGTGAAAGCTTTTCACTCTGAGTCTGACGCAAACCAAACAGCAGGAAATGTGGTTTTCAGTGTGGCTGCAGTCAGCTCAGTGTGTGAAGGCAAAGCAGACCATCACTGTCTGATGATGGATGTTTAACTTCAGCTGGAAGTCATAAAATGAACATCTCCTTCAGCTGTAAATGAACCTATCATGTGTATGTTAGGATGCTCACACGGTACCTGGGTTTATTTCTATTCTCTCTTAATAAAGAATTTCCACGATCTCCAAGTGTAACACGTACTGATTTCCATTCATGGATCTAATACGGGACAGCTGCCAAAATCCATGCGCAAAAACAACAAATCCAACAAACCCCTGCTCCAAAAAAGAGCTCAAAGAAAAGTACTTTCACAAAAAGACTGCACTGAAGTACAAGGCTGAACATCACCAGTGGGGGTCCTGTCTCCTCTGATTAAAGGGAGAAACTAAAGCAGCAGGCCACGCCATCACTCGGTAAAGTTATCTGCGGTCACGGGATGAATGTAACAGACTCATCTAAACAGTAAGGACACAGGATTCAGCAGGTTCATTAGCACCAAGCATTATTTGCTTTGTACATATTATTTATGGAGTATGCGGTTTCTAGCGTTTGTGTTGGGTGGTTAGGTGGAGGTCATGGTGGTGCTCACATTTCCAGATGATCATCACAGAATTCTGACACTGTCACAGTTTGTTTGAAAAGACCGAATCAGCTGATCGTCTCTCACTGTGTGAGCTGGGACCAGCATTCTGGAGCCATGACCAAAGGAAGTCACATGTAACATACAATCAGCTGAAACCCGTTAAAGACACCAGGCTCTGTGCTCTATGCAAAACTACACGTGTAAAAATAAGCAATGGCACGTGATCATTCATAGCATTCATACTTACAAAAACATATCTCATCAGTTATGGTGGGCGTTACTGTGAACACTGAAGAAGCAGGTCTGTCTGATTAGGAACGTTTGAACTTGACTGGATTAAAGTACTAACACAATTTTGATAGTCGACTAATCGTGGCAGCCCTAGCTCTGACCTTTCCACTTGTTTTATAAATTGAAGTTGTAAAAAATAATGAAATCCTTGTCGTCGAGGTTTATCTTGTATTGCTGTTCTTGCTGTTTTGTAATTTATGGTTTGTCTCTGCCTGTGAGAGCAGGTTGGGCATGGAGCACGATGGCCAAGGCAACCGCTGTGGGGACGAAACGGCGATGGGAAGCGTGATGGCCCCACTGGTGCAGGCGGCCTTCCATCGATACCACTGGTCAATGTGCAGCGGGCAGGAGCTGAAGCGATACATCCAGTGAGTTCATAAACCTGCACAGTACTCCGCATGGGTGCTGACAATCACGACTCCAGAGCTCCACCTGGGATGCTAAAAAAAAAAAAAAGAATAAATCACAAAATATAAGAGTTAAGTTAAATTGGGAAATGTTTTATTAAAAGCTTTATTAAACAACAACCTCCTCAGCTACATACATTTGCTCAGAGATTTTGGGGTGGATGAGTAAATAAATTCTCAGTAAGACCCGACAGTCGGATGCTGGAGCAGTGGGGTCAGACGCAGTTGTGATGTCCTGCAGCACAGACGGATGGATGGGAACGCCACCAAATTAGGAGAATGAGTTTGGCACATCTTAATGTTCCTCCATAATTTTGACTCTTGGAAACATATAAAGGAGACAAGCAGGCTGTTTGTTGGCGGTGCAGTGTCAGAAACGTCAAATCAATCACAGCCCAGTGAGCAAATTGCATTTTACAGCTCAGTAGCCAAACTATAAAGAGCTACATGGTTGCTCTATCTGCCCCATATTTCATACTCTGTTTGTCCTCAGCATGCATTCATCTTATTTAGTGTTGTCTACACTCACAACAACAGTAACGTCAGTGTATGTTTTATCATAAGATAGAAAACCAGCAAGAAATATATGAAGAGGAAGCCAACGATCTGTGAGCAAGCACAACAAATCCTGTTTTAGAGTCAGAACAGGCAGGCTGAAGGTAACAACAGAATAATTAACCTAATTCATGCAGTGTGACAGAGAGGAGACCCCAGAAATTCCCCTAAAGCACTCCAATCTGTTGAGACACTTTATATTTAAAATATCTTATTATTTACAGCCAAGTGCCAACATGATGAAAATGTCTGGCTCCGCCCACCAGAATAAATTGTCTTCTTTATGCTTCGCGTGTGTCGTCTGGTGTCCTGCTAATAACCGTATAACGTGTTAACCCGAGGACGTCTGAGCTTTGACACCAGCGTTGTTGGCCTGTGTCCAGTTCATAGACATGGATTTTTCTTCTTCTCTCTGTAACTGACAGGCAAAGCTTAGCGGAGCGTGGACACAAAATTATTGACAGAGCCTCAAAGAGGATGACGGCGGCAGCGAGCAATCAATCACCAAACAGTACTGCGATTTTTTTTCTGGCTTTTATTATGAAAGGTGCCTTTGTTGACAAAAATCAATGTATAGCAGGAAAAAGTTTCTGCGTTATCTCGATATGAAGACTTTGTGAGGCAGCTGCTGAGAAGAAATTTAATGAGAAGTTTAAAAATCATTCCTCATTTTCAAAAGGCACATATGCCTGCTCTGTCTCTGCGCCGGGTCTAGCTGTGCCCCGTGAAAAAACAAACAGCCAGGCTGGGGTTTACTGCAGCTGAGCCGCTTCTCACCACCTGGCTCTGTCGTTAAATTAGGAAGTATGTGCATAAATCTCAGTGGGAAAACAAGCAGTTTCTGGATTTCTCTGATAGCTTTGTGCCGCATTCAGGTAAAATCAGAATGGTCAAAAGTTAAGAAATATCAGAGGGGCGTATTTAGCCTTTTAGCTTTCCTTTGGGTTCGTTTCTTAATCATTTGCTTAATAATTAGATTTTGCACTGACGTCGATGGAGGGATTAAATGTCTCAGTTGATAATAGATTCCCAAGGTCAAAATATAATTATTCTTTAATGAAACTGAAAGTTTCTGTTAAGGTCCTTTCTTTAACTTTACTCTAATGTGTTGCTTTGTAACAACAAACCACACGCAGCGTATAACAGACGGCTTTTATAGCATCTGCAAACAGCAGAGCAACAAGTCGTTTCTCTTGTTATATTGAGCAGGTTAACTAGTGTTGATGCAACAGTTTGAGTTGCTGCAGCGCCTTTAAATTCAATCACCCATTAAGCAGTAACTCCCACAGTGAACAAACAGAATGAAGTCAAAACTATGAAACTAATTAACAAAAGAAAACAACGTTTCCGGTTATGCTAAAATATCAACGTAACAGAGACTTGAGTTATATGGATCATTTGTTGGACTGATGGTTTTATCTGCAGAGGGCTGATGATTGCAGGGAAAAGCTGCAGTGAGGGGGTTTGATGCCTTTGCTCTGCTGGATGTTTTGGGTTCACTTAGATTGAATTAATTCGTGACAGCAAATAAGTAAAAATGATGCGACGGCTTGTGGCCACATCTAGGAGAGGGTGTGGCCTCAGGCTTTCCAGGTACAGATCCCCTTTCAAATAAAGATCTCTAGTTTGTGTCAATAAACCTTTTTGGCCCTGTGAACTTTGTTTGGCTTGTTCAGAGTGAAAACATGAACCTTCATGTCCTCACAGCACGTATGATTGTCTCCTGGATGACCCCTTCAAACATGACTGGCCGGAGCTTCCTGAACTTCCTGGCATCAACTACTCGATGGATGAGCAGTGTCGATTTGACTTCGGGGTCGGCTACAAGATCTGCACTTCCGTGAGTAAAAGATAAAAAAATATGTCATCGATAGCAGAAACCAGCTAAAACATATCCTATGGAAACTGTTGAAGAAGTTATTTCTTTAGACTCTTGGGATGAGCGAGCAGGGACTTTCAGTGAGGTTTCTGCAGAAAGCTGTGCTGATCACAGCCTCCAGAGGAAACTGACTCTGAAATCTCAGACGATCAGAAACCGTCTGCAGGTTATCGAGCGCTTCAAACAGAAGCCTGCTTGTTTAACCTCAATCACACCTCTGCAGATGGCAGGGTGATCACCGTTGTCCCTGTTTACCGTCATCTGTTTCCAGCAGGTCAGAGATGCTCAAATAACAGATAAAAATGAGCTTTTCCAGTTGTTAATTTTGTGAATACCGCGCTAATAAAAATGCAGATGTGCTCAGTATGAGCTGTTGAATCTTAAGCTTTGAGTGTTTGCAAGATTTTGTTTTATTTATTTTTTTACTTACAACAAAAGTGAGTTTTAAAAAGTCAGAAATGCAGCAGCCTGATGAGAGGCAGACGTAACGATGTTGATCGTGTGTCGCAGAAAGTGTCACGCTGTACTCAAAAAAGCTTTAAACTTGCAGAGGACGACTTATTATTTCGGGAGCTGTAGGAACAGAATGAGAGTCTGAGGACTGGGCGTCTGGCTACGATCGTCGATCGATGTCTGGGGTCCTGACTTTACACTGAGGTTGGCATTTCTTTGAAAGCATTTCGAAAGTCAACAGAGTCCCGGCGATGCAGTCCTATTATCGCTGAAGGCTGCATTGTTTGATTTCAGCTTAAAAAGGAGGCCCGGCTGCTCTGTCTGAGGTTTAATAGCTTGTAGCTGACAGTTTTCGATGCCCTTTGTTCTCTACAAAGATCAATTTTTGGTTCTTATTTCTGCTTTGTAATTATTAGTTCATTTCACGAGATGATACACTGCTAAGAGGAGACGCTGTATGCCTTTTTAAAATTTCCTTCCTCTTCCCCATCTTATTAAAAAATTTATCAGATGATCACTTCTGCTGTTTATGAAAGTCTGCAGCTACACGCAGTGCTACAGAGCTCTTCAGCAGTGTTCATCTCATTATTTCGAGTTTCCAGCCCGAGCTCTGTGTGCGTGCGTGCGTGCGTGTGTGTGTGTGTGCGTGTGTGTGCGTGTGTGTGCGTGTGCGTGTGCGTGCGTGTGTGTGTGTGTGTCTAGAATACATGCCGAGATCTCTGATCAGCAAACTGAACATTTCCTCTCCAGCGTCAGATGGCAGATAGACATGGTTTGTGACTAGATGTGCACCTAATGCAGCATTTGGTGACTGTAGAGCAAAGTATTCCCTGTAGATATGAGACCACGGCCACAGCTAAGTGTTTAAATAGTGAACTTCCTGTTTGCTCTAAGTACAAAATGTAAACTGCTTGATTCAGGTTTGCCATTAATGTCTGTGCTCTGCTTCAAATCTAATAAAAGGCCTGTTAAAGTGCTTAGATGAAATTAATCGAAACCGACATTTACATCATGGAGGTTTAATTTATTACAGTGCTCGAGGTTTTACAGGCAGCAGGGATGTGCCCACCGAGAGCAGGTTGCTCATATACCGACACTGCTTCCTTTGTAGTCATGCTAATCTAATCTGATGCTCATCTAAATGATGAAAAACTGCTAAAAATGTATTTAAAACACTTAAAAACATCACCGGCTATTTAAATTTGACACAACTCGTTTCACATTACCTAGAAGAGAGAGACCTCGCTCTGGGAGCACAGAGAGTCTTCAGCTCATGTTCAGGTTGATATGACCTGTAGTCGCTTTTTTGTGTAAAAGTAATAAATGAGAAAGATTTTCTTCTCACAGAAGAAATAATAAAGACGTAAGAAATAAAAGAAATAATGGTGTTCTTCAAAGGCACCTATTTTGCTTTTCCATATTTTGTCATATACTTGCAGTTCAAATGATGCACACTCACATTAAAAATAGTTTCAAACAGTGAGCTCAGCATATGTGCAAATAGCCACCATGAGACAAAAGGACTGATTGCTCTAAATGCTTTTTTTCTTCTGTTGGGTCTCTGTGACGTCATAGAGAAGCGATGGTCATCTCAGGAGTGTTGTACCAGTCCTGTTGTGCTGCTAATTAAATATGATATTTCATCAGGAGGCAGCTTCAGCTTCTGTGAGCGCGTCACTTTCACCCAGTTACTGTTGCCCTGTTGTTTATGAGGGGCAGCCAATCAGAGGGCTCGTTTTCAGACAGAGGATGAAGCAAGGCCCAGCGTGGGATAAAGATCATTTTAAACTACAGATCATGCAAAGCTGCTCTAGTATTATCCAATAATAAAAAACACTGTGGCCAAGTAGTAACTTTTTTTTGCACCTCATGTTCCAGAATTATTTCCAGTGTCAGCTTGGTGTAAGATCAAGCAAACATTTCTGCTTCATCTACACTGAGAAGTAAACTTTTTCCTGTGTTGTGTTTTAGTGCCGACGTAGGACAATTGTCTAATTTAAGTACGACTGTGCAATGACAGCAAAGACTCAAGTTCAACCTAACAAAAGTCTACGCTGTTACCTACCAGATGTTTACAGCCTGCAGCTGTTAAAAAAGCAGAAGAAATCCAGAAGTGAAGAGATTCAAGACACGCTCTGTTGATCAGCCTCTTTAAAACCTCCGTTGGTTCAGGTTTGTTTGCTATGATGTTAACTCTTCCACAAAAGCTGGATGCTAGCACAGATGATTGTTTTAGCATCGCAAATGAGCAAATCACAAATTAGGCGTGTCATTGCCCAGCTGTGCAGATTACAGCTGTTACTGCTTACTGGGCCATTCTGAAGTACTGTTTAGATCAAGTGGCCGGTTTAATTCCTGCATGCTTATCTACATCTATTAAGGCCACGTTAGCTTTACACCCACATTTCTGGGTCACAGGATTTGCCTGTAGGTGGACCTGACCTGCATTTTGCCCCAGTTTTGCCTTTTTAACCGAACATCAGAGAGGTTCGGCCAGCGAAGGCAGGCTGCTCTGTTGGGTCTCAAAAAGAGTCATTTTTACAAAGAAGGGCTGAACAATATGGAGATTAAAAAAAAAAGATTTATCAAGGTAATACTACATGCACCCCATATACATGTATACACCATGTTTTCTATGCTTTTGATGCTTCTCCTTTTTAGTTTTAGCTTTTTCCATCAAACAAAAGCATCAGGAAAGCTGTAAAAGAAAAACATGAAGTGGTAGAGTTACCCTGAGTTTGCTTCAGCCTGAGGGTTTGATTTATAGATGTCTTACTCTTTATTAAAACCCCACGCAGGGCCTGTGCTCGCAGTGCAGACAGATAAATGTGTAACAGACAACAACACAGTCCTTTAGAGACAGCTGATTATCGACCTGTCAGACCAAAAACAGTCCCGCAGTTTATGGCTGTCGCGCTCACCGTTGCTGTAATTTAACTTCCACAAAGAATCGGACAGAAAGTTAGTGAAGCTGTTAGATGTTAGAATAATAGAATCCCAAATGAACTTTAAAATAAAAGACACAACTTCTTGTGTGTCTTCCTTACTCTGACCTCTTTTCTAGAACTGCCGAATCCTGAAAAATAATATTTTTTGGAACGCTTGAAGGAAACAAACAAAGCTACGCAGGAACAAAAGACGTGATGAGCAACCTTACTAACAAAACCAAAAGGAATCAGGCCTGAAGAAGTCAATGTACTGTCAAAATGTCATCCTGATGTGGAATGGAAGAAGGAATAAGAGCGAGATGGCAACATGGAGGTGTTATTTTTGCTCCTTTGTGCAGAATAATACCCGAGCGCTTTCAAAGAATTTATGATGTTTTTCTGTCTCCTGATGATTGCCTCATAAAGTAGGAAAAGGCAGTTCAGTTGGAGGCTGATAATGTTGCATAAGGTTGCAAGAAAAAGCTAAATTATTGCCTCGGTTTTGTTTAAAAATCCATCTCTGTCCAGGTTAAACTATTTGCCCACTAATTCTGCTGTTTCATAGAAATGCTCCTCTGCATCAGGTCACGACTGCAGAGAATATCTGGCTTCCATTTACCTGCCCGGTCGTTGTTCTTGAATGCAGATGATTAAAAACAGAAAATCAGATAATTCAGAGATGGTTTTCTGAGACTCGTTAAAGTACTCACAAAGGGAACAGGCTGCAAATGGAAACAAAAAAAAGCATCCAAAAACCGTGTTTTTGCAAACAGATTCTGAATATTGATTAAATGCATAATGATTAGCAAGTGATGAAAATACACGAGCTGCTTGAACAGGATCCAAACACCCCGAGTATACAAATCATAAGCAGACTGTCTAAGCCCCACTGGGGCTGCTGCACTGCACAAGTTAAAAAGATTTGTGTTTGTTGTTTAGAGAAAGAAGTCCCTCCAGGTAATTGTGTTTATGCTGCTGCAAACAAAGCACCGGCAACAGAGATGTGGCCGCAGCAGACATGTTCAGAAAGGCTTATTAACCTCTGCAGATGTCCCAGTTTCATCAGCGGTGCTCTCAAGTACTGCTAACGAGGCGGACGGGGGAACTAGTTCCCAATCCAGGTGAACTTAATAAGAAGATGGCTTCACACAGACATTAATGTCGTACCAGTAACTGCTTTGGATGAGGGCAAGACAGTGGAAACCAGTTTCTTTTAGAAGCAACAGATGATGACACAAACATGGTGAGAAATAACGAGCGTGTTAATATTTGGGAGATACCTGTTAGCACGTAGCACACATTATAAACTGTGTATTGTCTGGAGATCGACAGCCAAAAACAACCAAAAACGTCATTTATCTGCAGACGTGAAGGAAGCTGTTTGACTGTCAGACACTCACAGATGTACCAGTGACGTCTGCTCTTGAACTGTCGCACAGTCTCTTGTCATTGAGATGTTTTGGGCAGCTTAACTGTCGCTTTTTAAGTTATCTCGAATTAATCTGATTGTCTGCTTAGATCCCTCAGAAATGTTCGACCACCTTACGTGACGAGGAACTTAACAAAAAGCCGTTATCAAAGAAGCCCACTCGGCCCTCTCTGGTAGATAAAGAGAAGTGAGAACGACAAATACCGACATACAGATTTAGAGTGTCTCCCTCTTTTATCAGACAACTTTCATCGTTACTTTTGTGCTGTGGGTGATTATGTTCATTTCTTTTGCACCTTAGTTTATCAAGGACTCTTGGATATAACACAAATTCTTGTCTTATATGAAAAGAAAGTCTGAGAGATACTCATTCCTTTGCTATTTTTAAGTGACCATATTCTGCTCACTCAGTTAGGCAACACAATGAGCAGCTGAGTTATCCTGCAGCTATATTTTTACCTATAGTGTGCCATGTTTTCAGTTGCCTTAACGTTTTTTGCTGTCTGTGTTCCAGTTTCGCACATTTGACCCGTGTAAACAGCTGTGGTGCAGCCACCCAGACAACCCCTACTTCTGTAAAACCAAGAAAGGGCCACCTCTCGATGGGACCGAGTGTGCACCTGGAAAAGTGAGTTTGTCTGTTAGACCTACATACAATAAATCATGACCAACACTATAAGGGCACCGCCAGGAGATGTTGTTGTCGCAGCTTCTAGCTGCAAGGGAACGAGTGCGGTTTAAGCAGAGACTGTATCACATGGATGGGCATTGTCTCCAGGTCTGAAAGGTGGAGCCAGTATAGAGGTGGCTTAAACACGCATGCTTTCTAATGACCAAATAGCAAAGTGCAAATAATTCAGACTGTATAGAAGTCTATGAAAAAATGACTCTACTTATCCTAAGGTCACAGAGCCTCCTGGGATTCTGAATAGCTCTGTGGTCTTGATGACTAGTTTCAGTACATGTACTAGTACATGATAATGGCCTCCACATTATCACGCACTATTTTTCAGTGTGCAAGGTAATCCAGTAGCATTAGGAGGATTACTTCAACATTTAAAATATCTCTGATGACGTCATCACTTCACAGGACGAGCAACTGTGGTAACCACGGTAATCTTGACATTCCTGCCCACATCCTTCTGGCTAAAAAGTTTAGCATTTAGACAGGAGACCTTCTCTGCTGGCTTACTCTCCCCGTCTCTCTTTGCCTTCTCATCTCATGTAGTGGTGCTACAAAGGTCACTGCATGTGGAAAAACCCTAATCAGGTCAAGCAAGATGGTGCCTGGGGCTCCTGGAGCAAATATGGTTCCTGCTCACGCTCCTGTGGAACTGGAGTTCGATTACGGACCCGTCAGTGCGCCAACCCTGCGTAAGTGGACAAGCATTGATTAGATTCAGGGCGGCATCAAGAATAATAGGAATAGTAAAGTATTTGAACAATGACGTGACTTTTGTCCTGGCTGCCTCCACCCCGAGCCACCTTCTGCTGGAGGTTTCTTCCTGTTAAAAAGGAGTTTTTCCTTCCCACTGTCACCAAGTACTTACTCAAGGGGGGAGGGTTTCCTCTACACTACTGTAGGTTCTTTACCTTACATATCAAGCACCTTGAGGTGACTGCTGGTGTGATTTGGTGCTGTATAAATAAAATTGAACTTTCATAATCTTCCCATTTAAATCACCGCTGTAGACACTTAATTACTTTTTATTAAACGCCTGAATTAAAGGTAAAGTCTTCATTTCAGTTATATCCTGATTCTTTGATTTAGAATCCACTGTGGTGGGGTACACAGAGGAAATTATCCACAGAAAAGTGTCATTGTTCAAATATGATGAATGATTATCATACTTGAATAATAATGGATTAAAAGAGACGGTTTTATTTGACCGTGGAATATTGTGCTTCGTACTGTCTTAATGATCACTTTCCAATGACACAAACTAACACTGATCACTTTTGTGACAGACCTCCAGTATTTGTGAGTCGTGTCCGTCTTCTTTAAGTAGCTTCCTAAACCCGAAGGAATGCTCCTCTGGAGAAAGTCACCTGTTCTCTTTTTGGCCGTCTCAGCGGTAAATGAAAGTCTGTATAAGGACAGGAAACAGGGGATGCACTGGTTTAGTCCTGAGGCAACCAAAACTCTGCCTGCCAGCTGGTGTAAAGCTCATTAATTTATATATATGCTGTTTTTCAGGGCTGCCAGATATGAAAGCAGCTTACAGCAGCGTTCTCCTGTCTCTTCGTAGGTTTTAGTCAAAGGAAGTCAAAGCATTGTGAAAATGACTTTATATAAAGTTTAACACTAAGCGATCAGACTCTATGTTCAGCCTCATATTGCTGTGTAGAACTTCAAGTTTGGAAAACCTTTTGTGTAAAATCATCAGTGTTATTCGTACGGCTTCTCCTTCTTAAATCCTTTTCAAAGGCAAGTATTTGTCATTTCAACAAAACTCAGGAGGCTTGATTTAAATAATCAACTCCCATTAAATGAATACCTGTGATGTAAATAGTATTACTGCCCTGAAATGACGCTCCACCTGCAAACCAGCCGTAACAGCTCAGAGTCGTTTTTAGCCAAATGTGCGGGTGGATTTTACACAACGAAAGCCGTGGAGGAGGATTTGTTTCCACTTTTCAAAGTTTATAAGAAGTCTTCGCTGTCTGATCGGCGCCTCTGATGTTCATCCATTTCGTTGCCCAGCCCATCGAACGGCGGCCAGGACTGCCCAGGAGTAAACTACGAGTACCAGTTGTGCAACGCAGATGACTGTCCCAGGCACTTTGAAGATTTCAGAGCTCAGCAGTGCCAGCTCCGCAACTCCCACTTTGAATTCCAAAATGCCAAACACCACTGGCTGCCCTACGAGCATCCTGATGGTAAGCCAGAAAAATGTCAACAGATTGTTTTGCTCAGGCCTGAGGCTGCTTTGCTGCTTCTTTTATGCCCCAAAAAGAAGAATGAAAGCAGACGAGGGCAGGAGATCTGAACTCAGACACAGCTGAAAAAAACATATAGTGAAGACAGGAGCGCAGCCAGCCCGTCACCACGCTGGCCACACTCCTTTGTGCAAAGGCAATGTTTGTGTTGTGTCCTCTGTCATGTTTTTCTTTTGTATTCTCTCCGTTCTGCTTTTTCCCGTCCTTGTGTAGTCTTCCATCTCAGCTGGGATGAACAATTTAAACCCGTTCAACCTTCAAGCTTTCCCTCTTTGCAAACGTAATGGATCACCTGTGCAATTACAAAACTCTGGGCAGGGGTTTGGAAAGTCAGTCATGTAGAAAATAAGTAGGAAGCACACTGAGAAACTGCAGGAAGGTGAGAAATTAAAATCCGATCACGGCCTTCAGTGGAAGGCAGAGAGCTTTTTATGATGTCTGCGGTGCGATTTGACTGTTGTGTGCTGAGCGTAAATGTTTTCATGCATGTTCTTGTTATTTATGTTCAGATTTTGTCTGAACAGGTTTTTCTGGCGGTTTTTGTTCATTTTAAAAACACATTTTTAAAAAGAACAGAATGAAAAAACCCAATATTGACAGATTTTTAAAATATGAATTAATAGTTTAAAAAAGATCAGTTGCAACATATTTTTGCAGATGTATATTCTTTTTTTGGAAGTGCAATAGTTTTGCATTTGAGACGAGAACTAATCACCACACTGCAGATAACCAGCCTGCCTTTGACAGCTGTGTAAATGAAAGGACAGAAGCATTCAGAGGTTTTCTGTCATTTTTTACATATGATCCAGTTTTTTCGGAGCCTTCAGGTTGTTTTGTTTTCCTTTTTGTTATTTTTCTCATAAAGAGACAGTGCTCATCATGTAAATGTGCCAGAATCAGTCACAAAGGCAAATTTGCTTTGGCAGTCAGAGGAAGTTGATGGCTCATCCAAACATTGAAAGAAAATCTTCATAAAAAAGCAGCTGAGCACAGCTAGAAGCCCCAAAATGCAGAGAAGGAAAGAAAACATGAACACATACGAACGACTGCTAAAACGATGCTTTTAAGACATAACTCAGCGGTATCAGATTCCTCATGTCTGCATGCATATTAATACAGGTATTATTCACACACTGACTCCCCAGATTTCCTAAAGCACCTTTTGTAATTTTTACTTTACAGTCCAGTTCAGAAAATGTTCATTTTGTTTAATGAAGTCGTTGAGCACAGAGGCCTGAATCTGTGAAATCTGGTTAAAATGTAACAGTCAGGTTGTAAATGTAACTTTACCTGATATTTAGATTTTATTATTGATTATAATGAGATTGTAATGAGGTAGACGGGGTGTTGATGAGTGTTAATATGTCCTAAAATTCAAGGCGGTCATTGTAATCACTGCAACACAAACAATAAATAATAAACTGGTAACAGATTGCAAAGCAGGAAAATCAGAAATACACGTAGAATATGCATATTTTGCAATTTTGTTACCACACCAGCATTTTTTTGGCTCATGCAGTCTATTAGCGTTATCAAAATTCAGCGATCTGAGCTTTTCCAACTCCACTGACTTTTCTTAACCGTTTAGCAGGGCTAGAGCCTATCCCAGACTTCACAGGAAGCAGGAAGCTCGACGCACCCTGAGCATCCTTTGACCACTCAAAAAAAAAACCCCACAATAGATTGATGGGTGTTTTTTCTCTGTCTAAGGAACTTATAGATAGTTTCAAAACCACTTGGCTTCAGTTTGTTATGCTAATCTAAGAATTCATCGTCTTGCAGCAAACAGAAGATGCCACTTGTATTGCCAGTCCAAGGAGACAGAAGATGTGGCGTACATGAAGGTGCTGGTGCATGATGGGACACGATGTTCTTACAAGGACGCCTACAGCATCTGCGTGCGTGGAGAGTGTGTGGTAAGGGTGTATTCAAACTACATCAAACTACGTTTCTACGAGCTGTGTGTGCTCTCAGCCACGTTAGCAGCTGCAGACTGCTGGACTACTTAAGCTTTGCACAAATTCATTTAATTACACAGAGTTAATGGAAGTAAACCAGCATCGGGTTCACTGTGATTGAATCCACAGTGTGTACTCACTGCTGTGAAGGAAGAAGGTGGCTTCATTATGATGTTTATATCCAGTACTGCTAATTTGTTCTGAGATGTTATTTAAAGAAGAGTCTGTTTTTCCGTTTGAAGGCATCTTTCAGTGGAGTTTGGGCCTTTTTCACTCTGTTTTCAGCTCAGTTGTGAGAGCAGCATGGCAAATTATAAGCAAACAGTTTCTTCTGTTTATTACTGAATATCCTGAAGATGATGATGAGCTCCATGGACAAAGTGTTTTTTGGCTCACGGTCAAAACTTAACACCTTTTAGCAAAGAATAAAAATCTAACGAGGAATAGGAAGAGATTCCCTCGATGTGTCTAATCATCCAGGTGAGGTCATGATTTTAAATGCTGACCTGACTCGTCTTCCACCCCCAACAGCAGTCAGCTAACATCAGCTCGTGTCCAGTTGGCGCTGATAAACCAGCAGCTAATGAATCCGTTACGTGACATTTGCCGGGTCCGCTTAGCATCAGACACGCTGTGAAGGTAACGCTTCGCGCCCTCGGCCAAAAAACAGTCGGGGTTCATCTGTGTTGTTGTTTTCTTGGTCTCCAGAAAGTTGGCTGTGACAGAGAAATTGGCTCTAGCAAGGTTGAGGACAGATGTGGGGTTTGCGGTGGAGACAATTCTCACTGCCGCACCGTCAAAGGAACCTTCACCCGCACGCCGAAGAAAGCTGGTAAGAGCTCGGAGCTAACGCACATCATCTTAAACAGGATCATTGTTCGTTTGTTGTTGCTTTATTTACTGTCGTCACATGAAGGATTTATTTAACTGCGTTTTTCTTAACTGCCTGATCATTCATGCAGATAGTCACTTTTATTTTAAACATTAAGTTATAAATGATAAACTCAAATCTTCATTTGGTGTGTTCTTTACTAAAGTCTCCACAAACATGCTGGGGACAAATATAGAATACAGATGGGCATTAACATCTCAGTATTTTTGCTGTATTTTCCTGGTCTTCTCACAAGCAGAGTAGAGACTTTCCCCCCATTATAGCACCGGGGTTTGATAACGCTGCTGTTTTCTGCATTGTCACATTCAACTCCAGAAACCCATTAGTTCATGCTTTAGTTCTTTCAGACTTTCCTCACCTGTCCTCATCCTGCATGTGGCGTTCAGCCCAATTACAACCCCCTGTTTACTTTTTTTCTACAATTTCTTTAAAAATCTATAAAAACTGTAATTTTTACACAGAAACAGAAATAAGTTGGTGCACTTTAGCATGTTTAAAATCAGCTTCAAATGTTGAAATGTTGCATGTTGGCGCTATTCTCACATCTGTTAAAGCAGAAGAATTCAATTCTATTCAGTTTTATTCATACAGCGCCACATCACAACAACAGGCGCTTTAGATCGTAAGGTAGACCCTCCAATAATTACCCTCCAAAAATTAAGACGGACTTTTGCGAGATCTCGCAAAAGTCCGTCTTAATTTTTTTTTCTCCCATGTCCCCTGCGGGGCCCCGTAAATAATACATACAGAAAAACCCAACAATCATATGAGCAGCACTTTGGCGACAGTGGGAAGGAAAAACTCCCTTTTAACAGGAAGAAACCTGCAGCAGAACCAGGCTCAGGGAGGGGCGGGGCCATCTGCTGCCACCAGCACAAGAAGGCTCAAGATTTTTGGGAGATTCTTGAGGGATGTTGTCACCTTAACATGACCTAAGGTTATATTAATGTGAGCTGCTAGCTTTACTAGCTTCTTATGTAAACAATCAGCAATCCATTTGTGAGTGAGTGAGTCATCACTAAGCTTTGTGCCATTACCTCTGCCCAGCAGGTCACATGACTTTCGTTTGACTGTACATGACTGTCGTTCAAGAGCAATCTGAGCTGCTCGCTTCTAAGATGAGAAAAGTACTGTTTCACTTGACTTCCTGTGTAATGTGACACCTTCTGAAATCCTCACTTTATATTCATGATAACTGAACATAAATAACCTCAGTCTGCATAAGTGTATACACTGTGGGTTAAATGTGAGCAGTAAATGCTGTATACCAGAGCGTACTGTCAGCATGAAATGTGGGCTTTGAAAGGTCTCAGCTTGAGTCTTCTCTGGCCTTGTAACTGTTATGAGCGCATGCACTCCTTTAACTACTGATTTAATAAGCAAAGTGGCAAACGCTTTAAAATAGATCTTGATTAGTCGACCGGATACAGCCCATTATCAGCATGCCACACTTGGTTATCCCATTTTAGTTTCTAGTGTCTCTATTTACCCTTTTAGAATATTGTTTAAAAAACACATTTAATATCTGAAGCCCAGTTAACCCAAAAACGTGCAGAGCACTTTGTGGCAAACGGATAAAGAGCCTGTCGCAGAGCGAGGAAACATTTCCGATGTTCCACTTTTCAGACTTGTGTGGTAAGCCACTGAAATGCAGCCGGACTCAAACGAGGAATCTGACCACTTATAATTTCCTGTAGTCAGTAATCGATACGGGATAGTGCGAGAGCTGGTAGCTGACTCTGCTGTGCAGTCATACAGCTGAAAAATGCTGCAAATATTCCTCCTCAGCCAAAAATTGATTTGTTCTATTTGCAGGAGGTGGATGTAAACAGAAACCAGGGTGTTTGAAAGGGATTTTATCCAGATAACAATCACCTCACGCTGGCAGTAATGACAGTAATGAAGTGTTTCCTCAAACACAAACACAACAAATTCTGGTGTAATGTATGTGGCAGTGAAATCTGAACTTGTCTGGGATCAAATATATCGATGCCAGTGCTTGTTATTTTTACTCAGTGTCATCAAAATCACTGGCTTTATCAATATTTGGATACATATTGATATAAACTATGATGTTGATGCTTCTTATTTGCTTAGTCATTGGACACAGCTGCAAAGTTTATATGAGTGCACAAAGGTCATCTACGTAACGGCAAAGAGAAGAGGAGATGGGTAGAAACTGTATTTGCATTTATGCAGTTTCAGTAAAAGCAGCCCTGTTGGAACACATGAAAAAAACAGCTTAAAGATGAGAGGTTTCCATAAAAGAAAGAAAATTCAAGTGTGGTTGAAAGAATTAAGTTTGCATTGCACTTTTCAGGATTTTATTCATTTATTTTCTACCGTGAATATAATGCAGATTTACATTAATGATGTTATATTGGTGTTATATTGGTGTTATTGGTGTTATATTGGTGTTATTGGTGTTATATTGGTGTTATTGGTGTAATGGTGTAATTATGAGCACCTTCTGCTGTATCTTTGTCATTTTTCCTTGCAGCCAATAAAAGGCTCTACAGGGCCGGAGTGACACGCAGCTGTGCAGCTGCTTCAGCCGTCACTCTGAACAGTCCGGCTCTTATGAATTAAAAGAGAAATAATCATGTCCTTCTGCATGTTAATAATGTGCTTTCATTTTTGAATACATTTGTAAATTAATTTAACCAAACCACCAAAATCCACCCTCGTTTTCGGCTCCATCAGTCATGGATCATATTTCATTGGATTTCACTGAAGTGCGAGTCTCGATGTGATGGCTTCATCAAATCGTTTAAGGATGAACTTTACTGTAACTGTGATCCTTCGTCTTTGTTTCCTCACATCTCTCTCTCCCAGTTAACCACTCACCTTTTTTAACAGGGAAACAGTTAAGCAAGAGAGCCCAAAAAGAAACCGCTGTGTCCGAAAACACTATATGCAAGTATCCAGTGTTACTGAATCCCTTCGCGCCTCCTTTGCTAGTATTTCCTGCCCAGCTTGTAGTACAGATGGATGCTTAACACTGTAGAGATCCAGAGACTCGAGTGACATAAGCTGCTGTTTCTTCTGTTCCCTGTTACTAAGTGTCTTTATAGAGCTCACTTAGCTTTTGTAGATGTCACAGGCTCGACATACATCTATAAAACTCTTTACAAAAAGTTACGCTTCGTGATATTAGTGGTATTTTATTATTTAACAGCCTAACAAACTAACTTTAGCGTCCTAGCCCAGATAAAAAATGCCACATTAAACAAAGCTGCAGATCTTTGAAGGCAGTCTGAATACAGCTGGCCATTTCAAACCTGGTTCAGTCTAATGATCCGCTTCCAAAGGGTCATTTTAGATAACCAGCGTGTGTGCGGTGTATCAGTCTGCACACGCTCTGTTATCAGATTGTAATTTCTGTTGAGCGTCTTGTGGCTGAGAAATTGGGTTTGATTAGACGATGATCTCTTGGAAGCAAGCGGTCTTTTCCAAAACGTGGAATGCAGACCAGGTAAAAATGCCTCTCCGCCACCTGCCGTAACCCTGTGTTAGCTGCACCTCAGCGTACAGTTGCATTTATAGTCAGCTCAGCCGCACCGATGTGTGCGTGCCAGGACACCCAGAGTGTTTGGCCTGTCTGTCAAATCTAAAAGCGAGTAATTACAGCTGCAGTTTTCTCCTGTCAGTGGCGGATGCCGCCCTGCCGGCAAACGTAGCTTGCTTTCTCATCCAGCGACAATTGCTCTGGTTCCTCCTATGCTCATTAAATACGTCTCCCCTGTAGGTGATGTTGTTGCTGTTAGACAGTGAAAACGAGAGGAGGGGACATGTGATACTGACTAATGATTTATTTCATTCCAAAGGGAAGACGAGAGGCGCCTTTTCTTTGCCCAAAGGAGCTCGAAATGTGTTTGTAAATGAAACAGAGGACTCTCGAAATGTACTTGGTGAGTCACGGTGGGTTTGTAGGAGGCAGACATCCCTGACAGACAACTTTGCTGGTCTGTAGTTTGAAAAGCTTTTTACCTCCTTCCTTATTGAAACACGGCCGAAGGCTCTGTTCATATACATCCTGTTTGCACAGAGCCAGTGTGAGCAGAAATAAAGGACGATGGGCTTGCTTTTAGAGACTTTCTCATTTGATAACCAAATAGACACGAGTAAACCTTCAGGGCCTGTTTCAATAGAACCTTTTTACATTGAGGAGGAAAGCCAACCAAGCATTTTCTTCCTTCTTTAACTTCTTCAAACATCCTTGTAGAGCAAAGTGAACAAAATGTCTGGAACATGCGGGATGTCAGCCTCAGCAAACCGAACAGATTATCCTTGTATCTGCTTAATGTACCGTTTCTGTCTTATCTTTCCTAACCCCCCCGTCCTGCTTCTGCTGCTGCTGATGCTGCAAACTTGGCAAAGGTTACCTTAAGATGTTTCTCATTCCTCCTGGAGCTAGACATGTGATCATCCAAGAACATGAGGCCTCCCCTCACATTCTTGGTAAGTGTGATTTTCAGAGATGAACACATGTATGAAATCTTAAAAAGCTCTTTGCCATCCTCCTCATGTCTCCTCAGAAGACCGATGGGAAGATTCTGTGAAATCATAGATTTTGCATAATTCATTTCTTGTCACCTCCCAAGTTGAGGAAAATGAATCTTCTCATTTGCATTCATTATTAATCGTCTGCTAGATGAGCGTGCTCTTTCTTTTCTGCAAAACAGGACTAGTTTTTCTTTATTTAGTTGAATTTCCAATAACAACCAAGGACATGTCGAATTAATCAGCCATATTCAGGAATGAATCATAAAGACGTGGCTTGTTATAGGATAAGTTTATTCATAAATGGTTAAAATAACCTCCACAGATGGGATTATGTAGTTACTCTTAGTGCAAGCTAAATAAAATTAATACCTGAATTCAATTTAAAGGTCATGTCCTTGTGCACCTTTGGACTGCTTCCTGCGCTGCTGCTATTTTTAGAAGTTCTGTGTGTCTGTGATTTCATCCTGGAGCTCAAACCTGAGCAAAGTCAAACATCAACTTCTGTCCCCCCAACTCTGATGTCAAGAACAACCCAACAACACAAAAGCAGAAGTAAGGTGAAGAGTCCGTCAGGAGTGCGACCAGCAGCAAACACAGAAGCACGATCAGTGTAGTCGCTGGTTTGATTCCCTCCAACTTTGTCCTCTTAAGAAAATAACATTTAGAAAATTTCACAAAGAACAAAAAAAGAGAAATGTTTGTCCCACTGGAGGAGGCCCTTTGTGTATTCTAGACACACACATGTGAGTGATAAGAATCTGACAAGCTGGCAGTTTGCTGATAACAGCAACTTTAATGAAAACAGTGAAGAACTTTGTGATTACATGTCAGATTATACTCTTTAATCCTCGTGCAACACGCGTCTGTCAGTCGAATGATCACATAATGTGTCAACTTTTTCTGATGGAGTAGATGGATCCATCCTTGGTTCTTGTCTTTGCATTGAAAGGTCAATTTACTGTAAGTGAAAAAAGCACGATTTCTGCCTTTAAAATGCCAGTTAGTCAAGTCGCATGTTGGGTCTGGTAGAACAGTTAGTGATAGTGATGACTAAAGGATCCTGTTTCTGAGTCAGACTGAGTTTATGTGCAGCTAGAAGACAGTAAATATGCCAAAAATGAAAACGACCTCAAAGTGGTTAAAAAGGCTCCAAATGTCAGTATTTGTAACTCAAGTACAAGCAGACTGACAGTGGAGGAAGTCAACTGATCTCACACTAACATAAAAAAAATAAAGAATAAACATGAAAGTTCATAAAACATCGTAAAAGCAGAAACAATATTTTCCTATTTTCAAAAGGAGCAAAAACCACCTGCTCAGTAAAAAGAGTGGGAGGAGGAGAGGACGATCTATTTAGTGTCCGCCAGGTGATACAGGTCAGCATCGCTCTATTTCCTCAAAGAGCTCTTTGAGGTTAATATTTACACTGACAATTATTTAACTGAATCCTGTGAAACCTGTAAAAGAAGACAAAGAAGATGAATGCAAGCACAAAAACACCAAAACAAGCAGCAACACTTCTGTGTGGAATGAAAAGGTGATGGAAATTATAGAAATAATTTGTGCGTCTTTAAAAAGAGCCTGGCTGATATTTGTACAGCTTGTTTCCAAAAATATTCAAATGTACACAAAATTAGAACTGTTCTCAGGATTAGTCTGGACCTGAGATAGTGAGACTGAATCCAACAGTAAGTCTCTAGATCTTCATGCGTCATGTAAACCTGAGGTTCCAGTGACTGAGCGCTCACAAAAGGTGACACAGATGATGACTGCTGTCCAAACTCCAGGCTGACTAGAAGCAAACAAAAGCTCTTTGCTTAGCACAGAACGAAGCTGTTTGACACCGACGCTACTAAAGGGCCCTAAATAGACATAGAAGATGCGCTAAAACACTGAGTCTAAAAGCTAGTATAATATTACTGTTACCATCTAAGAAAGATTGAGTAGTATGGTGTGCATGTTTAATTCAGTCTGTCCAACCTCATAAGTGCACGCTGCAAAATTGGCTGAAATCTCAGTGACTTTTGAAACAGCTCACTATTCATACGGCACCTCGATGCCCAAGGTTCAGCAGCGGGGTAGTAGTCCAGTCAAAACGCAGCCTGATTGCAAGCGTGTTTTATTCTACTGAATGGAGCAAGTAAGAAAAATGAAATAACTGCATTAAAAATGGACTCTGTGTTATTAGAGTTATTGAACGGTGTCTCGTAGAGCCTACAGTTGTGTTAGATGTGAGGCTCTGAGAAGTTTGTGCACCTCTCTACCAAACAAAAGAATCAGTGGTTTAAATTAAGGTTATGAAGCAAGACAGAGTACTTAAGGATGGAAGGAGAAGATGATAGATGAGTCTGACTATCCGGGGTCAACCATCCAAAGCAAAGGACAGTGGACAGGAGAGATGAAGAAGAGAGTGCAGGCAGGCTGGACCGGGTGAAGAGATGCTGCTGAGACCCACCATGATGGCACTGAGAAGGAACAGGTGGCTGAGCTGGAGATGCTCGGACAGAACAGGATTATAAATATCAGGGGGACGGTTCACACTGAAGACGATGCTGCAGAGCCAGAGAAAGACCACAGAAAGAGGTTCAAGGATGCAGCGAAGGAGGCTGCAGGATGTTGGAGATGCAGCCGAAACAAGATGATATGATCCAAATTAGCGATTTCACATACTTACTTTAAAGTTCTGTGAACTTTTTCATTTGCCTGCTGGTATAAACCACTAATAGTAGTGTTTTTAAATTAATTATTGGATGTTTGACAATAATGGTGCACTTCAAACAAAATAGCACAGCTGAAACCAGCAGGGACTACTTTCCCTGTTTTAATAGGATGCAGAGCTGATGAGTGGTTGGAGACTGCATCTTTAAAACTGTTGTAAAGCAGACGGGTGCTGCAGTGGATCATCTTAAATGCTTTTTAAAAGCATAAAGTAAAACTTGAGCAGCAGAAAGAAAGAAATGATCTGCAACATCCTTTTAGCATCTTTTACTTGTGTTGCATTTTCCCCACTCGATGCATTTAAATGCATTTATATGTATTTAAAGCATCTGATTAACATGCCAGTTTTCATTTTTGTCCTCACAAGTTTTATTATACTATGAGTTTGGCAGTTTGTTTTGCACAGAATGAGGAATAGTTCAGACATGCTTTTGTTCAGGCACGGTCTCTTTCCGAGTGACTGCTCTGAGAGTGCATTTTCTTTCTCTGTGAATAATTCTGATCTTTGTCATCTAGAAAGTAAAGCTATTTCAAGTTTGTCAGCAGCTTATAACAAGTGACTGATTACAGCAATCAAGAACCAGGCGACGGGGCATTACATCCTCAATGGCAAAGGAGAGGAGGTCAAGTCCAGAAGCTTCATCGACTTGGGCGTTGAATGGCATTACATCATCGAGGGCGACGTAGAGACGCTGCAGACCGATGGCCCTCTGTACGACCCCGTGGTGGTGCTGGTAATAACACTTCCTTATCTAACGCACTCATATATGAATTCATTCAGAAGGCTATTTACTTGATAATGAGCACTAAAACAGTTCATCCCTCCTGCCCGAGTCTCCCAAAATCCCTTTTATCACTTATTTTCTATGGCTATCTGTTAGATTTTAATTATTGAAAATCATTAGTGTTATGTAAATGCACCATATGAGAATGTCTCCAAAGGAAGAGGCTTATCCCTAAGATAAAATACTACTTGAGATAAATTTGAACGAGTCAGTCCCTTCAGTTGTTTTAGACACATTTGCATTTGCTGGGAAGATTTTAATACATGTACAGTATTAAGCTGCTCCCTTCTTTTATCGCTGCGCCTCTCTGTGAGCACGAGGGAAAACAGACGCAGTGAAACTGAGATCAGAGCGTAGAGACATCGGCATGACCGTGAAAAACAAGACCTAGCAGAGGCTGTCATGGTGCACCAAAACGAAACGAGTTAACGTTGTTTTCGTCCCCAGAGTTACATTTAAATGACTTTTTACAGTAACTTTGGACCTTCCAGTGTTACTGTAATGTTACCTGATCAGAAAAATAAGTTAACAGGAGTTTTGTGCGATCAAACACTCCACTGTGACTCCTACCAGTATGTACCAGCCACATACTGGTTGCATCACCTCCACCAGCCAGCTTAGGGCTGGGCGATATGACCCAAAATTCATATCTCGATATTTTTTAGCTGGATGGCGATATAAGATATATATCTCGATTTTTTTTTTAAAGCCATAAAGTAAGAACAAAAAGAGAGTTCTTAGTCAAAGCTGTGTCCCAGATGTCACACAGGCACTTTTATTAACATAGAGCAGATGTACATAAAATTTACTCAAAAATAAATTATGAGCATTTATTAAATAATAATGCTCCATAAATAAAAGAAAACAATGTTGTTTTTGTGCATAACAAAAAGCTCACAATTGTGCAGTCAAAATGTAAACTAAAAGACGCTGAGCACAATAACAAAGACAGATTTCACAGCTGCTCTGTTCCCAACTTGTACTGCGTGACTGACAGCCTGGAGTTTGAAATCCGCTTCGCAACCACGTCTCTTAACAGGTGCCATTTATGGTCCTTATACACAGTAGGGTAATATTACGTTGAAGCACAGTACGTATCACTCCGCGAGGCTCAGCCGTAATGCTCCGACAGTCCATCAAGCGGTGCAGCTCCGTAGCTTACCAAAGTCGTACTAAAACATTTTTTGACAGATTGCTGAGCGCCGTGTTCCACATAAAATCGGTTCGCGGCCATCAAGCACAACCAGAATTCATACATAAGGCGCGCTGTCAACTTTTGAGAAAATGCAAGGATTTTAGGCTGTGCAGCGCCTCTGGGCTGCATGGCGTTAGCGTGGTTAGCTCGTTAGCGTGGTTAGCTAGCTAACACGTTGACGGCGTCCAGCCCCACGCACGGGGCGATGTGCAGTAACTCGGACACGGCAAATCTCCGTTAACATCTTGTCGCTTCCTGCAGGTGAAGCGATGGTGGAGGAGGGGGAGCTGTGTTCAGTGAAGGAGAGGCGAGGCCGAGTAACGTTGCGTAAAGACAAAAGTGGACGAAAGAGAGGCAAACTCGCGGCTCCACAAGTATAATTATAACGTAACATAGACTATATCGATATAAAGGATATTGTCACACCTTATATCTCGTATAAAAATATATCGATATTTTTTAAAAACTCGATATATCGCCCAGCTCTAAGCCAGCTCATCTATTTATCCTAGACTGATAGCTTTAGCTGAACTCAGTGCTAGCTATCGCCATTTTTGGGGCACCAGCAGATGCACTCGGTTTCACCAAACACAGTTTGCAGTTCACTCTGCTGTCGAGCTGACACTAGCACAGATCTATCTGCCAAGAAACACAAGAACAACAGAAAATAATGCATTAGGTTGTTTGTTTGTTGTTGCTGTTGTAATTTTTGCATTACTCAAATGCAAAAATTACACTTTTGTTTGCAAAGTAGTCTGAGTGCTACTACTTTAGTAAAGTAGCAACTGTCTTTTGTAGCTCCTAACCTCAACAGGTGCAATGACACTAAAGAGGGCTTTAAAAGAGGACCGTTATTATTCAGGTTTAGACAGTTTAGAAAATCGTGGGTACAGTATGAGTAGAGCTCTCATGTAAATCATTTAAAACCAGCGGCAAAATCTTCCAATCAAAACCAAAACTAACAGGCAGCTGATTCACAGCACATATTTGTGGTCATATGATCGTTTTCCTTGGAGCAGCTCTCTGGACTTGTGGATTTCTCCTGCTGAGCAGTGAGTGAGTTACTGTGAGGTGCATCAATCAAACCTGGTAGAGATCAAAGAAAACGTGAACTTGACTAAATCTGCCAGTGAAGGAAAGACCTGACCTCCATCATTTGGTTTACTCTCAGCCAAATACAACATGACTGAAACTTGAACGACTCCACAATGTGAGGTTTGTAGTGTCATATTGGTTCGTCTGCTGCTCGGGCAAGCCATGATTATTATGTGATTGAGAGGACAAATTATAAGGATCTGTCACATGAAATGATTCATTTGGAGACATTTTTAGAACATGAGGACTCAACGGAGAGAAACCAGTGACTGCAGAAAATGCAGACGATCTCACGCCCACAAAAAGTGAAGCCAAACCATCTCTATCGCCCCCCGGTGTCTGACTGCAGTATGTCATAATCCTGCCCCCTCCCTGGATAGGACAGGGGTCAACCTGAAACAAAAAGTCTCCACAAATAAATTTTTCCCAAAGATTCTTTCTGCCATTATTAACAGTTCTCGTCACTCTGGGTTGGGTTTGAGGGGTCACCTTTGTCATAAGCTTGATTTTAATTGCTAACTCGATGCTTTAAAATTGTGGTGCAGCCGCAGCCACTGAGAAGGAGGTTCAGCATTTAGTTTCCAAAACCATGACCGACTGAGGCATCCACATACGTCTGCTTTTATCCAATCATTGGTCCAAACACCATGCTTTCTAATGTGTGTGTGTGTGTGTGTGTGTGTGTGTGTGTGTGTGTGTGAGGAAGGAGAGAGGAGAAGAAAGAGATTAAAAGCGAAACGGAGAGCGATGCAGTGCGAATCTCCGAAATCATCTCTAATGCTTTTAAAAGCATAAAGAAACACACTTGAGCAGCAGAAATGAAAAGAAAATGTATTTGCAAACATCCTTTTAGCATCTTTTACCATGTTGTCGTTGCATTAATTTCCCTCCCACTCGAGGCTCATTTTTAAATGCATTTATATTGTGATTTTTGAAAGCATATCTGAATTAACCATGCCAGTTTATCATTTTTGTCCTCAAACAAGTTTACTTGTGATACCTAATGAGTTTGGCAGTTTGTTTTGACAACAGAAGGGACTTACGATGGAAATGCTTTGCTTCAGGATGATCCCTAGTACGGTGATAGGCCTTTATCTTTTGTTCAGGCACGGTCTCTTTCCGAGTGACTGCTCTGAGAGTGCATTTTCTTTCTCTGTGAATAATTCTGATCTTTGTCATCTAGAAAGTAAAGCTATTTCAAGTTTGTCAGCAGCTTATAACAAGTGACTGATTACAGCAATCAAGAACCAGGCGACGGGGCATTACATCCTCAATGGCAAAGGAGAGGAGGTCAAGTCCAGAAGCTTCATCGACTTGGGCGTTGAATGGCATTACATCATCGAGGGCGACGTAGAGACGCTGCAGACCGATGGCCCTCTGTACGACCCCGTGGTGGTGCTGGTAATAACACTTCCTTATCTAACGCACTCATATATGAATTCATTCAGAAGGCTATTTACTTGATAATGAGCACTAAAACAGTTCATCCCTCCTGCCCGAGTCTCCCAAAATCCCTTTTATCACTTATTTTCTATGGCTATCTGTTAGATTTTAATTATTGAAAATCATTAGTGTTATGTAAATGCACCATATGAGAATGTCTCCAAAGGAAGAGGCTTATCCCTAAGATAAAATACTACTTGAGATAAATTTGAACGAGTCAGTCCCTTCAGTTGTTTTAGACACATTTGCATTTGCTGGGAAGATTTTAATACATGTACAGTATTAAGCTGCTCCCTTCTTTTATCGCTGCGCCTCTCTGTGAGCACGAGGGAAAACAGACGCAGTGAAACTGAGATCAGAGCGTAGAGACATCGGCATGACCGTGAAAAACAAGACCTAGCAGAGGCTGTCATGGTGCACCAAAACGAAACGAGTTAACGTTGTTTTCGTCCCCAGAGTTACATTTAAATGACTTTTTACAGTAACTTTGGACCTTCCAGTGTTACTGTAATGTTACCTGATCAGAAAAATAAGTTAACAGGAGTTTTGTGCGATCAAACACTCCACTGTGACTCCTACCAGTATGTACCAGCCACATACTGGTTGCATCACCTCCACCAGCCAGCTTAGGGCTGGGCGATATGACCCAAAATTCATATCTCGATATTTTTTACCTGGATGGCGATATAAGATATATATCTCGATTTTTTTTTTTTAAAGCCATAAAGTAAGAACAAAAAGAGAGTTCTTAGTCAAAGCTGTGTCCCAGATGTCACACAGGCACTTTTATTAACATAGAGCAGATGTACATAAAATTTACTCAAAAATAAATTATGAGCATTTATTAAATAATAATGCTCCATAAATAAAAGAAAACAATGTTGTTTTTGTGCATAACAAAAAGCTCACAATTGTGCAGTCAAAATGTAAACTAAAAGACGCTGAGCACAATAACAAAGACAGATTTCACAGCTGCTCTGTTCCCAACTTGTACTGCGTGACTGACAGCCTGGAGTTTGAAATCCGCTTCGCAACCACGTCTCTTAACAGGTGCCATTTATGGTCCTTATACACAGTAGGGTAATATTACGTTGAAGCACAGTACGTATCACTCCGCGAGGCTCAGCCGTAATGCTCCGACAGTCCATCAAGCGGTGCAGCTCCGTAGCTTACCAAAGTCGTACTAAAACATTTTTTGACAGATTGCTGAGCGCCG